CACTGCAACCTCTGCCTCCCAGGTTCATGCCATTCTCCTGCCTCAGCCTCCCGAGTAGCTGGGACTACAGGTGCCCGCCACCGCGCCCGGCTAATTTTTGTATTTTTAGTAGAGACGGGATTTCACCATGTTGGTCAGGCTGGTCTTGAACTCCTGACCTCTTGATCTGCCCGCCTTGGCCTCCCAAAGTGCTGGGATTACAGGTGTGAGCCACCGTGCCCGGCCTTATCTTATTTTATGAGATGGAGTCTCGCTCTGTCGCCCAGGCTGGAATTCTATGGCACTATCTTGGCTCACTGCAATCTCCGACTCCTGGGTCCAAGCAATTCTCCCGCCTCAGCCTCCCGAGTAGCTGGGACTATAGGCGCCCGCCACCACACCCGGCTAATTTTTTGTATTTTTAGTAGAGACGGAAGTTTCACTGTGTTGGCCAGGCTGGTCTCGAACTCCTGACCTCAAGTGATCTGCCCACCTCGGCCTCCCAAAGTGCTGGGATGACAGGCGTGAGCCACTGCACCCGGCCACACCAGGTGATTTGTACCGTCTGCTCTGGGGAAGCAACTCTAGCAATTCAATGTTTGGTTCTGCAAGAAATCTGCCATTTCAGGCTGGGTGAGGTGAGATGGTGCCACTGCACTCCAGACTGGTCGACAGAGCGAGACTCCATTCAAAAAATAAATAAACAAATAATTTTTTTTTTTTTAAAAAGGCTGGGCGCAGTGTCTCACGCCTATAATCCCAGCACTTTGGGAGGCTGAGGCGGGCAGATCACCGGAGGTCAGGAGTTCAAGACCAGCCTGGTCAACATGGTGAAACCCTGTCTCTATCAAAAATACAAAAATTAGCCGGGCATGGTGGCGCACGCCTGTAGTCCCAGCTACTCGGGGGGCTGAGGCAGGAGAATCGCTTGAACCCAGGAGGCGGAGGTTGCAGTGAGCCGAGATCGCACCACTGCACTCCAGCCTGGGAGACAGAGCGAGACTCCGTCTCAAAAAAAAAAAAAAAGAAACTTTCCCTTTCACCTCCTCCAACGCCCCTTCACCAGCCCCCCGGGGGTACCACCTGGATGCAGCCCCCACCTCACAGCATCTGCCAGGTGGCCCCAGCACCCATAGCTGGTCCTGCCCATGTACTTTAGCAGGTTGCATTGTGATGTTGGGCTGACCCTGGTCAGGTAGGCGCTGGACAGCTCTGTGTTTTCATAGAAAGCTGAAACACACAAAAAAGAACAGGGAAAAAAAAGTGAGATTCCGAGTCCCTGCTGGCGGGACGCTCCCCAGGTCACCAACATGGTGACTTCCACATGATTCCTGCCTGGAAGTGCCAACACCCGCACAGCTGGGCTTTCTGTGGAAGGCACAAAGGTGACCTGGGGCGCTGTGGCACCCCTGTCGGGTTCGGTTTGGACAAACCCCATCGGGAGTTTTGGGTGGAGGAAGTACAAATGCAGTTGAACCACAAGAGGAAACACACATTACATTTCCCCAGAGTGTCTAAAATATCTTATTGAGGCTGGGCACGGTGGCTCACGCCGGTCATCCTAGCACTTTGGGAGGCCGAGGCGGGCGGATCACCTGAGGTCAGGAGTTCGAGACCAGCCTGGCCAACAGGACGAAATCCTGTCTCTACTACAAATACAAAAATTAGCTGGGCGTGGTGGCGGGTGCCTGTAATCTCAGCTACTGGGGAGGCTGAGGCAGGAAAATTGCTTGAACCCGGGAGGCGGAGGTTGCAGTGAGCCGAGCTTGCACCGCTGCAGTCCAGCCTGGGCAACCGAGTGAGACTCTGTCTCAAAAACAGAGCGAGAGGGCCGGGCGTGGTGGCTCATTCCTGTAATCCCAGCACTTTGGGAGGCCGAGGCGGGTGGATCACCTGAGATCAGGAGTTTGACACCAGCCTGGCCAACATGCTGATACCCCGTCTCTGCTAAAAATACAAAAATTAGCCCGGTGTCGCGGCTCACGCCTGTAGTCCCAGTTACTGAGGAGGCTGAGGCAGGAGAATCGCTTGAACCGGGGAGGCAGAAGTTACAGGGAGTCAAGATCTCACCATTGTACTCCAGCCTAGGGACAGAGTGAAACTCCGTCACAAAAAAAAAAAAAAGAAAGAAACCCCATCATTCGCATAACATCTCTGGCTGTTTTTTTGTGTGTGTATGGTTTTGTTTTTTGTTTTGTTTTGTTTTGACACAGGACCAATCCTCCTGCCTCAGCCTCCTGAGTAGCTGGGACCACAGGCGTGTACCACGACTCCCTGTTCATTTTTGTATTATTATTATTATTATTATTATTATTATTTTGAGATGCAGTCTTGCTCAGTTGCCCAGGCTCACCGTAACCTCTGCCTCTCAGGTTCAAGCAATTCTTCTGCCTCAGCTTTCCGAATAGCTGGGACCAGAGGTGTATACTACCTCTCCCAGTTAATTTTTCTGTCTTTTTTAGAAATGGGGTCTTGCGACGTGGCCCAGGCTGCTCTCGAACTCCTGGGCTCAAGGAATCCCCCAGCCTGGGCCTCGCACTCTGGCAGCTTTGACATCCCGAGGGCAGACCTCGGTAGCTACGACACAAACCACATGAACCCCCAAACCTGCAAATACAGATGGAATCTCGCTCTGTCACCCAGGCTGGAGTGCAGGGGTGTGATCTCGGCTCACTGCAACCTCTGCCTCCCGGGTTCACGCCGTTCTCCTGCCTCAGCCTCCCCAGTAGCTGAGAAGACAGGTCCCCGTCACCACGCCCGGCTAATGTTTTGTATTTTTTTTAGTAGAAATTGGGTTTCGCGGTGTTAGCCGGGATGGAGACGGTCTGGCTTTGTACAGAACACATGGGCTGCAGGGGGTGGCCCGCTTAAAATGCCTCCTTCAAAACAGCCGTGTCCTCACCTTTTCCTGCCCTCGTCTCCACTTTCAACAGCTTCAGGGACACGCAGGTGTCCAGCAGGAGCTCTGTCCCGTGGGGGCTGGCCTCCACAGCTGCAGCCACTGCTGCCACGTCCAGGGCCCCTGGGGCCTCGGCGAGAAGGTCGAACACCCCCAGCTCGCAAGCGGCGAAGAGAACCTCGGAGGAGGAGCAGAAATAAGAGGTCAGCGCTCAGCCTGACCCTGGGAACCCATAGCCATAGAAACAGCCCATAGCACGCCAGGCTGGGGAGGAACGCATCGTTTTATTTACATTTTTATTCATTTCTTTCTTTCTTTCTTTTTTTGAGACGGAGTCAAATGAGGTTGCACCACTATGGAAAACAGGCATTTTTATTTATTTATTTATTTATTTATGTTAATTTATGTATGTATTTTGAGATGACGTCCCACTGCATCGTCCAGGCTGGAGTGCAGAGGCGCGATCTCGGCTCACCCAAACCTCCGCCTCCCGGGTTCAAGCGATTCTCCTGCCTCAGTCTCCCGAGTAGCTGGGATTACAGGCCTATCCCACCATCCCCGGCTAATTTTTATATTTTTAGTAAAGACGGGGTTTCACCATGTTAGCCAGGCCGGTCTGGACCTCCTGACCTCAAGTGACCCGCCCTCCTCAGCCTCCCAAAGTGCTGGGATGACAGGCGTGAGCCACCGCGCCTGGTCCTCTCTCTCTCTTTTTGAGACAGTCTCGCTCTGTCGTCCAGGCTGGGGGACGCTGGCACGATCTCAGCTCACTGCAACCTCTGCCTCCCGGGTTCAAGTGATTCTCCTGCCTCCCCGTCCCGAGTAGATGGGATGACAGGCAGGCACCACCACGCCCAGCTAAGTTTTGTATTTTTAGTAGAGACGGGGTTTCTCCATGTTGGCCAGGCTGGTCTCGATCTCCTGACCTCAAGTGATCCACCTGCCTCGACCTCCCAAAGTGCTGGGATGACAGACGTGAGCCACTGCATCCAGCAGCTCTTGTTCTAGTAACTTTATATTAACTAATTTTTTCTGTTAAGGGTAGAGAAAGTTTTATTCTATTAAGGTTGGATTAATAATAATTAATAATTAATTAATAATAATTCTATTAAGATTGTGTTAACTTGTTTCGTTAAGTTTTTATGGTTGTTATTCTGTTAATTATATTAAGGTTGTCTTAGCTCCTGTTTTATTTGTATTAATTAATTACTCTATTAAGGGTGTGTTAGGTTATTCTGTTAAGGTTTTATGAGTTCTTGTTCTTATGATGCTTGTATTAAGATGTATTCTATTCAGGTGGTATTACCTTTTTTGTTAAGCTGTTATTAATTCCTGTTTGGTTAAGATTGCATTGACTGCTTGTTACAGTAAGTCTGCATCAAGTTTATTCTACTAAGCTTGTATTAGCGCCTTTTCTATTAAAGCTAGATTAGGCCGGGTGCGATGGCTCACACCTGTCATCCCAGCACTTTGGGAGGCTGAGGCAGGCAGATCACTTGAGGTCAGGAGTTCGAGACCAGCCTGGCCAACACAGGGAAACCCTATCTCTACTAAAAATACAAAAAGTAGCCAGGCGTGGTGCATGCCTGTAATCCCACCTGTTCAGAAGGCTGAGGCAGGAGAATGGCATGAACCCAGGAGGCGGAGGTTGCAGTGAGCTGAGATCGCACCACCGCACTCCAGCCTGGGCAACAGAGCGAGACTCGGTCTTAAAAAAAAACAAAAAAGCTATATGAATTCTTGTTCTTTAATGTTGTATTAACCTTTTAAAACTAGCATTGTGTTCTGTTTTATTCATTAAAGTTGTATTCATTCCTGTTGGGGATGGGTGAATTAATTGTTCTTTTAAGGGTATGTTAAATGTTATCTTCTTATGTCTACGTTCACTCTTGGTCTATGAAAGTTACATTAACTAATTGTTTCTGTTAAGGGTGTACTAAGCTTGATCTTTTTTTTTCCTGCTCCCAAAAAGTTTTTTTATTATTATTATTATTATTATACTTTAAGTTCTGGGATACATGGACAGAATGTGCAGGTTTGTTACACTGGTATACATGTGCCATGGCGGTCTGCTGTAGGCATACACCTGCCATGGTGATCTGCTGTAGGAATACACGTGCCATGGTGGTCTGCTGTGGGTATACACCTGCCATGGCGGTCTGCTGTGGGTATACACGTGCCATGGTGGT